TTCTTCTTCTTCTTCTTCTTCTTCTTCTTCTTCTTCTTCTTCTTCTTTTACTGTTTCAACTTTGTCTCCATTGTTATTTAATTTATTTGTAATCAATTTTAACATATCTTGTGTAATTCCTTGACTCTGTCCCAAATTTTTAAAATAATTAAACGATTTTTTTATTGATGATACTACTGGTGAAGCACATTTTTTTAATAAATGTCCATATAAATTTAATCTATTAGTTAATACATATTTTTCCCCATTAATCATAGTTTCTGTTGGTAGTGCTACAGTTACAGGATTATTAACGGGAGATACGCCAGTACCAAAACGAGGTAAAAACCTTGATATTCCTGAAAAATTCATACATTTTAATTAAAAAATAATTAATATTAAACAAATAGTTAGTATATTAAATGGATACTAAACTATTTAAAAATGTATATTAAAACTATAATTATTTCAACCTTTAGCAGCTTATTTTATCCACATATGGAGTATATGATAATATAGTATAACATAAAATTTCGTAGACAACTAAAATACATTATAAAAATGTGACGAATTAAAATATAATCTATAACATATAAGTAATACATTTTTAAGTTATTTAAAAATGTATAATATTTAATATTATTTTGTTTATATTATTATTTACCATTATCCAGCCGACCTTTCTGAGGTATCGATGACATTTTTAACTTTGAATTTTCAGATTGTGCGATTAATTGATTTAACAGATCAGGATTTTTTTGAAGAGCTGAAAAAGTAAAATATTTTAAATGTAACGAAGTAAGTATACATTTGTATACACACACATTTTTCTACTATCTAAAAGATATCGTAATTATCTACTATATATTATATTATATTTGTACTTAATAGAGAGAGAAGGTTCGGGATCGGATTCTTCCTATTAAAATTGCAACGTTAAAAAATGTTTTCATACCATTGAATTAGTACAAAAATTGTATTAAATTATGATGAGAAATTTACTATAATTGTAAATGATCATAGCTTGCCACATAATAAATATTAAAATATCAAAACAATACATTCACGGGATATTAGATGATATATTTAATTTTTAATTTAATAATAAGTCAACTCATTTAATTTAATATCAAAAATAACAGTTAAAAAAAATGATTCTCTAAACGGAAAATTAACGTAAAAGTAGAGACGTAAGACGAAATTAATACAACGGGTAAAAAATATTGATCTGAGTTTTTACACAGATCGTATCTTCTAACAAATTAATACAATTAAACCATTATACGTATATATATCTACCTACTAAAATTTATCATTAGATATCAGTGTTGCAATAGATGCTTTTTTTAACGATTATTTTTCGAGTAAGTAAATACAAAACACTGTTATAATATTTTCTAAAATATTACTCACTCAATAAGTTGTCATTTATTACATACATTTGCTAGCTTTTTATCTACATATAAAATTTTTATCCGTCATGTATTAGTTATGAAGTAAACTATGAATATGTACATTGTACAGTTATTGTATGTAAAGGTTGGATAAAAAATAAAAAAATAAAAATAACAGAAGTAATTATTAAGAATTAAATCTCTCTCTCCTCTTTTAATAAATATAATTACTAAATATGCCTATAGTATATTATATTTAATAGAAAATAGTAACAATAAAACCGTTTTTAATTGCTATTATCACCACATATAAATAACATAAGTAATTAAAATTTTTTGAATTATAATTTATAAGCTGAAATCAATAATCAGTAAAATAACTATATCTGTTTTAAAATTTTACCTCTGGTTATTTGTTTGTAATTTCCTTCTGGTACTTTTAATGTAATAGGTACAGATTGAAGTGATTGGATGCTTGTAAAAAGAATTATATAATTTATGTCTAAAAACAAAACAATTTATAATAATAAACAAATAAGTACATTTATTCTAAAGTTATAATAAAATAGGTATTTTAACTACGTTATCCACCATAACCAATATATTATTGGTCACAACAATTTTTTTTTTTTAGTCAATTATTCTATTAATTCTATATTTTAAACTAATTTTTATATGAATTAAAGTTTATTTTTCTGCAATATAAATCATTATTATTACGTTGGTTGTAATATTATAATAAATATTGAGTATAGTATTGTTTTAGAAAATGTTTAGAACCTATTTGTTCTTTAAATAATAATTTAGTTGTACACGATATAATAATTTACGACGCCAATTGTAAATCATAATATACCAAAATGTAAAACTAATTTATGATTAAAGTATTTTTTAAATATTGACACATAAACAATAACTGAGTAACCTTTAAAATATTTCAATATTTGTACTATATAAAGTTATATTTTTCAAACTCGAACATTATAAATATTATAATGTATAGTTGCATGCTTTCTCTTGATAAATTACGAAATGTGGTTTCGTGTTATATTATTGTGTGAATAAAAAATATAACAAACATTTACATATATTTTGATGACATGTAATAAGCATAACAGCTGATATATTCTTATCTTGTAAACTGTATAATATTATGTAAATGATAAATTATTTTACTTACTCAGCAGAGAGAAACATTGTAGTAACGGGCAGGTTAATGTCCATAATATTGTTAAATAAATTATTTTGATTGACGAGCACGTCATTGCAACAAGTATGTATTTACTGTGTTTGGATACAAGTGTAACATTTAACCGAAAAAGTTGCAATTATTATTATTAATAATATCGAATGTTGTTTAACGCAAAAAATATGATTACCATAAGTTTGGGTTAAATTTGCGAAATGTTTTATTTGTTATAAAATGCATTGTCGTAGCGCTATTAATGAAAAGTGACGATTGCAGATGTGTATATAGTTGTTACGTAAATGTTCACATGAAATAGATCATTATGCCTTCACACAATACTATTTAAAAGTATTAAATTGGTTATACATTATATTAATTGTTTTTATAGACATTAGATGAAATAATATGAACATTAAATTGTATTCAGACGTAGATGTAAGTTAAGCTAACATTATTATTATTATTAATCACTATTTTTATATATGACATATTTTTTAAATGACTTCGGAACCGATTCGTTTTTGGTATAAAAACTTTACTTACAGAAAATCTCTCACAACTCATGAAATATTTATATTTTAATAATTTAATTTAATTTAAAAGATTAAGGTTGTATGTAGGTCAGATTAAACTTAGATTTTAAAAATTCTATTTTTAGAAGTATTATAAACGAACATGTATCATTATTCATTACACACTTTGAGTATTTTGAATTTATTTTTTTTGGAATTATTAAAATTACTTTAAAATTTGATGATTAATATAATCTAATCAAATATTTTTTTTTTTAAATTTAATATAAAATATGATTAAAATTCGACTATTCTGCGAGGTTATGATAAAAGTCGTCATATCACGTTACTATAAATCGCCTAAATTGTTTGTTAATTAATAAATAGCTGGAAAGCCAACACCAACTGGAAACTATCTTAAATTAAATGAAGCGGAAAATATAAATAAAAGCTTATAGACGATGGTAGTGCACTTAAAAAAAAAATTTTTAATTGTATCCTTGATGATAGGAAACCTGAAGGGATTATTTTTTTTGTGACACGTGAATACAATGTTAAAAAGAAAATAATTTAATTTCTCTGATCCCGTAAAATATAGGTACCGTTGACATCAATCTACGATATTTAACTTAATTTCATGAATTAAGAAGATAACTAAGATTCTTAGTTCGTGCTAAATTTATCTCTTAACCGTTTATAATATATACTGCTGTCGCATAATTTTTTGGTAAATTATTTATCCATATTTAAAGGAATAATTAATATTAATTGTAAATTAAACCCAATGACCACTTTTTCCAAGGGTTATTATTTATAACCAATAATAATAATAATAATAAAAAAAACAAATTGAATACGAATACCTACATGAAATATAAATATACATTTATGTCATATAACTAATAAAGTAGCTGTGGTGTGATTTGGTATTGTTATTATTCGTATTTCGCTACAACGATAATATTCTTCTTATAACTCGTGCCTCGTGGTTAACCGTTAGCATACTCGTATGCATATTATATATTGCTGTTATTTGTCTAATCCTCATCTACTGTTATAATTTAGTTTTAAATTACAAACATACTATAAATCACACCATATAATTTTGCGTATTGGTAAGATTCGAATATTATTATAACGATTTGGCGTTGAATTCGTTGAGAGATTCAAACAATATGTATTATTTTACATTATTGATCCAACGTTATCCACAGAACCGATGTGCCTTAACAGTGTCTAATGCATCAACTACCGCCATCATTTATCTAGTTCTCGTTAGAAGCATACATTTATTATTTTAAATGCAAACACAACATTTACATTTTAGTTTATTTACATTATTACTCCACTTTATTATTTAGTAATGAAAATCGTTGGCTGTGTCAAAGAACATCGGCAAAATAAATATTTACCTTCAAAACCGACACGATTATATAGCTAACACACAATTCGTCAAGTTCACGTATAAGTAAACAACGTATATAATGTATATTATTATATTGAGCTTGTGAGTTAAACTGTTGAAAACATTTTGAAAGGTATTACCTCTAAAAGTACAAATTATAATTAACGATAAATTTAAAAATAAAATTTGTACGAATGAAAATAGATATTATTATATTGGACAAGCGTCTCGTTTAGCTAATTTCGGTTAGATCCAATTTTAAATAGTATTATTATTTTTATGACATTTCGTTGTTAATTTTAAAGTGTCGATAAATTATTGCGTTAAAAGTTAAAATTATACGATTCTGAGTGGAGCATCGCGATAATTTATTTTATTTTCAAACTTTATTAATATTTCATAAATAATAATAATAATAATATCTATTGCTTTTTCAAGTTTTAACAAACCTATAACTTTTTTTTAAACTGACTATACCAATACCAGCTCAAATATATTATCTTTTAGTTGATACTGGCCTGTATTCTTAGGAAACTTTTAAAATTACAAGAACGCCGACAATTAATTTTTGAGTAAATATTATTGAAACGTATATATTTTTTTAAGATTTAATAAGTATCCGAGATTCTTAAATATGATTACTGTAATATTGTATTGAAATATATAATCTTAATACCTAAAACGTTAAACCTAACTCAGCATGGCTTAATCAGCTGCGTTCGAGTTATTATTTTATTATTGATTTTCACTAGGAAGCAAACAATGAAAATTCATAAATTGTAACAATAATCTCGGGTAACACAATATATTTATTCAAAGACGGTCAAGATTTAATCTGAAATTATCTCATTCTCATTTCATCATTTAATCATAACTTTGAAAGCGCTATTGATAAAATAGAATAAATTATCTATCTCAAGTAGATTTAAATATTCAGCAACTCGTGTAATTAATCACTATTCATAGTAATAAAATTGTAACCGTCAGTTAATAAAATTATTTTTAAGTTTACCTATTGAAATTGTGTTTAAATGGCATACCTATAAATTAACCATGTCACATAATGTTGAAATCAACCATATAAAATTTACCATAATTATAATAAATCTTACTATAATAATTATTATTATAGTTAATTATTAACTATATTCATTTATATACAGAATAGGCGATTTGTGCGTTTTCCCCTTGTCATTTCACACTCTGGAAAAATGGTTTTTCAGTCGAGACTCAGTCACAACGGCTCACCCTGTACAACGTAAATTA